TTATTTATTGAAAACAATTCAATTAGAATAGATCGCTATCGTGTTGAAAAATTAAAGTCAGTGAATACTTTGTGAGTTAATTATTATCCGAAGAAGCGGGCGCGTCATATATCATCTTACAGTACGTAAGTAGATAAATTTAATTGAGTAGTAACTCGTTAAAGTTCCAGGCAAATAAGTTGGCAGGATTCGATACATTACATGCGAAAAGTCTTCGACGTATCTAATAAATCACGTGAAAACTGATCACCACAAAATGTTGTAATTTTTTGTGAGGTGCCTTTTTTCCTTCTACTTGGTGCTTTAATAACAGTAAGGATATTAAGTGCTTAATTAGATAAATAAACTTTAATTCCTACGTAGGTATCTTTTTTTTCAATCAACCCAATCAAAATGTGTCCAAACTATTTTCGCCGAAATTTGCGCCGCCGCACTGCAGTTATTCGTTTATCAATCAGTGATTACAATTCGATGAATAAGTCCCTTCTAAATCACCTATAAACGTTGATAAATATAATTTAGGTATAGATACAGGAGATTATCTTATAAAACAATCGGAAACTTTTAATCTAGGTCTAGATTTCTTCATCAGTCCATTATTTTATATATATTTGAATTATTATTATACGTTGATTTTGGAATAGTCTGGTTGTAACGGACATCAGCTATCCATCCAGTGGGGCAGCGGCGGCCTTAGAGGGTGGTGGACAGGGCAATCGCCCGGGGCCTCGCTCTTGCAGGGGCCTCGCGCAACAACCCATGAAAATTTAAAAAATATTGCTTTTTAACTATTTTTTTTTCAATTCAAAACTTTTAAATTTGATCCTTAATTACTTATTAAGGTTAAAACATAACGATAAATTAAAATAAAGTTAGTTAACTGATTCATTCACTCAAAACATAATTGAAAAATTCATTATGTACTAACATGACAAATATTAGGTATTTGCCGTGTTAGTACCAGGTCACCAAACAACGCAATATTACAACGCAATATTACTATACAACCCATTCCAAAAGTAGGTATGGTACTTTTCACGAAGGACAAAGGGCCTTGTTAAGACCTGCCACCCGGAGCTTCGGTAAGGCCGCCTCTGCTGAGAGGGGTATAGAGTAATAGAGTTGATTACACTATTGTCTTGTGCACTATATTTGCAGCATAATTGATCAGTCTCAATAGAAATCACCTTTATTTATTGCTTCAAACTAAGAATTAAAAAATAAAACTGCCTAACAGCCTGGCCACGGGACATTCGCCGATGCGAAAATTCGCGCGGTGCGAACGGCGAAGCGTCTAGCGACTGAAATAAACTCATGGCAATGTACTAATCAAGCCACGCGCAACGGCGACCGGCGAAATGTACCGAGCGAATCGCGCGGGCGACTGGCGTCGCGGCGGGCGAGCAAAACAAAGGCATGAATCAGTATGGCATACCCCCCCCCCCTTAAAATTCTATTTGCATTAACTTTTTTCTCCAATTCTGGTTGAATATTTATAAGAATATAATCGAAGGTTTCAATACTCATTCTGGTATACTCAAAAAATAATTCTGGATATATTCTGTATTTCTCGTAGTTCTTGTGGAATTCTCCATCTATACCTCGATTCTTATTTAAATCATGTACTCCACAATCTCTTCCAAATATTAGGTCTTGAACCAAAAGCTATTACTTTCCAATAGTCTATCGACAAGTTGAAAATGGAACAAAATAGAGATACTGCTCTTAAAATTATGTGCGATAGCTCATTCAACCAATGACGCCTAGAAAAATGTGCTAAAACGTGTATTAGCACATAAAAATTGCAAAAGTTATAGACCATTAAAGATGAAAAAAATGGAATTTAGTTTTTGCCAATATTTAATAAATTAATATAAGAATTTCAAATAAAATTCGAAAGAGGAGAAATTTCCAATAAAAAATCTCAGTCCCGAACTCTATCTCCATTATTTATAACTTTAATTTAACGCTGAAAATAGGTCTGTGCGTGACATTTTTAGGATTCGCGCGTGGCGTCAAAAGCGACTACGGCACATTAATTAATTTATTTAAGGTATTGAATATTTTTTTAAATTTGAAAAAATTATGGTGTGTTCTGAAATATAATTAATTTATTCCCGTTGGAAATTTTACTTAAAGTTAATTTTCAACAAGTTAAATAATTGTTAACTAACGAAATTTTCTCGAAGACCGTCTTAATTGTAAGTGAAAAAAATGTTTTAATAATGGTCGTAAAAATATTTCGCTTCTAGGCCTTTCTTACATACATACTTAACAAGATCGTGCCATAAAAGTTAAAGAAATATTTTACTTTGTTTATAACAATTTTTTTACTTAAACAAAAATTAATCAATAATGTTGTTAAAATTTTTTTTTCTAAATCATCAAATTATCGTTTTTATATTAATACAAGATATTTATTGATTTGCAAAAAAAAATTTCCCCCATTGTTAATAATTTTTTTAAACAAATTGATTAAATCAATTGTTTTAAAAAAAAATTTCTAACTTTATTACATTACAAATATTATGATTGTTTAAAAAAAAATTTCCTTAATAACATATTTTAATTGTTTATAATCGTTTTTTATATTTCTTTTGTTTAAATAATTAGTTAAGAAATTTTTTTTTTAAAAATCATAATTACAATTCTAAAAGTAACAGAAAAAAATTTTTTTAATCAAAATTCTATTGTTTATTAACTTACCAATTTGTTATAAACAAATGTTCAACTTTTTATTTTTTTCTAAAACTTCTAAAATTAACAAAAAAAACTATATAACAAAGTCTATAAAAAAAAAAAAAAAATTTTTTAATAAAAGTAATATTCATGATAATCAAAAAATTTAAAAAAATGTTTTTCTATATTTTGTTATATATGGTTGTTTTTGTTAATTTTAGAAGTTTTAGAAAAAAATATAAAAAGTTGAAATTTGTTTATAACAAATTGTAAGTTAATAAACAATAAATTGTTGATTAAAAAAATTTTTTTTGTTACTTTATAGAGGATTGTGAATTATGATTTTTAAAAAAAAAAATTTCTTAACTAATTATTTAAACAAAAGAAATATAAAAAAAGATTATAAACAATTAAAATATGTTATTAAAGAAATTTTTTTTTAAACATCATAATATTTGTAATGTAATAAAGTTTAGAATTTTTTTTTAAAACAATTGATTTAATCAATTTGTTTAAAAAAATTATTAAAATGGGAAATTTTTTTTTGCAAATCAATAAATATTTGTTTAATATAAAAACGATAATTTGATGATTTAGAAAAAAAAAAATTTTTAACAACATTACTTGGATTTTTAAGTTTTTGTTTAAGTAAAAAAAAATTGTTATAAACAAAGTATAAATATTTCTTTAACTTTTATGGCACGATCTTGTTAAGTATGTATGTAAGAAAGGCTCTACAAGCAAATATTTTTACGACCATTATTAAAACATTTTTTTCACTTACAATTAAACGGTCGTTCGAGAAAATTTCGTTAGTTAACAATTATTTAACTTGTTGAAAAATTAACTTTAAGTAAAATTTCCAACGGAATAAATTAATTATAGTGTTCAGAACACACCATAATTTTTTCAAATTTAAAAAAATATTCAATACCAAATAAATTAATTAATGTGCCGTAGTCCTTTTGACGCCACCGCGAATCCTAAAAATGTCAGCACAGACCTATTTTCAGCGTTAAATTAAAGTTATAAATAATGGAGATAGAGTTCGGGAGCTGAGAGTTTTTATTGAAATTTCCTCCTCTTTCAGAATCTTTATTTGAAATTTCTTAAATATTAATAGTTTATTAAATATTGGCAAAAACTAAATTCCATTTTTTTCATCTTTAATGGTCTATAACTTTTGCAATTTTTTTATGTGCTAATACACGCTTTTAGCACATTTTTCTAGGCGTCATTCCGGTTCGAATGAGCTATCGCACATAATTTTAAGAGCAGTATCTCTATTTTGTTCCATTTTCAACTTGTCGACTAGACTACAAGCAATATCGAGATTATTTCGATAAAGACATTTCGCTGTCGAACTTCCTTACTGGTCGCGGCGGCGAACGTGACTGGTGCGTGGCCTGCAAACGGCGCCGCGTGAATGGTCGCCTCGCCTCCCGCTTCGCCGTTCGCACCGCCGATCCCCGTGGCCAGGCCGTAAAAACAACTTTATTGTCGAAATATGGTTCACGCGCTTACATACTTCAATATACACTTTACATACAAGATCAAGTGTACCTTTGTTATCTACACTATTATAAAGACGAAACATTTGTTTGTAAAGGGTAAACTCTTAAACGACTGAACCGATTCTTCTTCTTCTTCTCTTCTTTCACTAACACAAATATAATAATGTACCATTATTAGCGAGTCACATAGGCTGTTATATAGCTATGATCAGCAGGAGCGGAACATAAAATAATAAATTCATTTAAAAAAATAGAACCGACTCAAAACTGCACTAAAAGGTATTAAAGAACAATATTTCTTATTTGTCTTGTAATGAGAATTACGCATATTAATCAATTAAATAATTTGTACACAAGAAATCAAGATCCAATTAATCCAATATTTGGATGTCGTTCGTACCTTAGATGCCACCATGCATCTTAAACCTAAATGTTTGCGATTCATCGATATAGATTAATTAACTGAAGACTTATATGCGGATTATAACCAAGCGTAGCGCGGGTTTTAGCAGTTAAAACCTTTTCTATACGACTTAGTCAAATCGGGTACATTTGATACCTCCATTATCCAGATCGGTTCACGGACGGAGCATAGCTATGCTTGAATTCACGAGAAATTAATAACCTCCATCAATTTTTTAAGATGGTAAAAGACATATGTGTGGTAAGCTATAAAAAAATAGAACTTTTATAAACATCATATATATGTTTTAATTTAAATTTTTCGTTACAGATATATGGTGACCTAACGCTGGAGGAGAGTGAATTAGAAAATTCATACAGAAGATACAAATAATTAAATCAAACATGAATGTCGGCAATTATAAACTGCCTGTTAACCACAGATTTGAAAATGTAGCACTTAGTGATCACTTAAGACCACACACGTCTTTCGGTTATGAAAGACATAGTACGTATAAGCAAAATAATAGGAACAATAATACAAACACATGTGGTTGGACAGATACTTATGACTACAATAATCCCTATCCGTCTTATCCAAGGCATCATCAAATATGGCCTGTAAGGGCGTCTTCGGAACAGTCGCGTTACAGGCCCGATTTGAATAGCAATTATTCATATATCCCTAGTTTCAGTCATTGTATACCACCTCCGCCGCCTCCGCCGCCTCCTCCACCACTGTTCCCTAGGTCCTTGGTTATGCCTGACCTAAAACGTGCTCCAGCACCTGAAAAAGACAGTAAACATATCAAACCTATACCAATGAAACACACGAATGTTAAAAAGAATCCTGAACTAAAAAGTTGTTTATGGAACGCGCAGAAATCAGAAATTACGACGAGTAAAATAGCTGAAAAGCCCTACTCCCCTCCTGTTCTACCCATACCGACATTTTATGATGCTTTTGAAATCATAGAAAAAGGATGGGAAGTATATAATAAATCAATATGGCGGGTAAAAAGAAGAGATGAAAGAGCGGTGGTATCAGACGATTGTATTCCTAAAAAAATTTCATTAGTCGACTATTTATCAAAAAAAAAGCTAAAGAAAGAGTTTCATGAAGGAGAATGATTACAAATATTATAAAAAAATTAACTATTAATAACTATTATAATTAATTAATTATAAAAAAATAAACATTATATTAATGATGCTCTAGAAAATAGCGGAAATGTTTTATAATGGGGTTAATAAATAATTTACGTCCAAATCCAATAAATTCGTCATTTGTTTTTATACCTATTCCGTATAAAGTGGCTGCTACCACGTTAATGGAATAATTCTAAACAGGATATCTTAGGAAAACATTGTACCTTATAAATTTTATTTACTTGTTTAATTTAAAATTTTAATAAAGTAATAATGTTCAAAAATACTTACGTAAGATGTGCAAAATCTTAGAAAAAAATCGTTTAACGAGAGACAAATTTAAGGTTCACGTAATTTTTTTCGCTGACTAGCTGTCTTTTTATATACTGGGTAACTTATATTTCATAGAAAGGAAGCAATTTGTAATTATACAAACACCACTCCACATTTATATTATAAAGCATTTCTCTCAAACACAGCTGCTATACCCAGCTCAGCAAAACGAAATGCGTGGTTTATAGCTATTATAGTAATTTTATATATATTCCATATCGACATAGCGATAATAATTTTTATGACCTATGAATAGAATTTACACAAAATGAAATAATTTATCTTCGGCTGTCATATTTGACATGATAGTGATAGTGACAAATATTAGAAGGCTCCTTAGGACGATTCAAGTGTCGAGACTTAGGCCGTTTGTCCACCGCCGCCGTCACCGGGACGTCACCGAGAACGAGATGGGGGCGCCGATTTAGTGATACATACATTTAATATGGCCATGTGTCCACCGCATGCCTGTCACTCGAGCGCCGTCATTCCGGCCGCCGATATTTCTTTATTTTTTAGAGTAGTTCGGCGTGACCGCTAGAACTCGATGTTCGGTGTTCGATGTGCCGGCTATACAAATCACATTTGTTCTTGTCCACACGTGTTGTTCACACTTGTTTGATTGTTGTTCCCACGAAAATGTAAGTGCGTGCTCCTATTTCACCATGCCTCCGGCTGATAGAGGACAAATCTTTGTTTTTAATTTATTTCATTATTATTTATTACTTAAGATGTCATGTGGAACATGGTGTTATGGTTGCAGCTCCTTACAAACTGAACTGGACAAACGGCCTTAGAACGTTTGTCCAACGCCGCCGTCACCGGGACTTCACCGAGAACGAGATTATTTCAACTACTCGAAACATCGGCGGCCGGGATGATGGCGCTGGCGTGACGGGCGTGCGGTGTACACATGGCCATATTAAATGTATGTATCGCTAAATCAGCGCCGTCATCTCGTTCTCGGTGACGTCCCGGTGGACAAACGGCCTTAGGGCTATGTGTCATTTCCAAATGTATAATTTTAACTTTTTACTTGAAAACAAAGTATGCCAAAAAATATTTCATATACATACATACATTTCCTTATTTATAGTTACCCTCAGGTCTTTTAGCATAACTAATGACCTAAAATTTGTACAAATAATCATTGATTGGCTAGAGTATGGTACAAAGGTGTACTAAGTTTTGATTTTCAAAATAAATTAATATCGTAAGTAAATAAGTGTTTCCGGAGCCAGAGCTGTGAAGCTCATCACGGAACGCGATGGAGGCTCACTTTTGATGCTCTCTGCCCTATCCAGGGGTCGTTCATTAAGTATTAGAAATGTCCTAGTAGTAAATAGTTAGCTGAGGTTTTAACATCAAATATTGTTTTATACAAATTAGTTATAATTAGTAACCTATACTTAAAAACGCTCTGTGCACTCCAGACAGTGACTCCAGAGCTGGTGCTTTCCTAGCTTAAGGAATGGGATCGCTATACAGCGAGGAAATGTTGTCATGTCAAATTGATTTTGGTTCTTCATTTACCGATTATTGATTATTTTTACTATTATATAGGTTAAGAATATTGTAAATATTTATATTTGTTTGGTATTAAAAAGCAAAGTTAAGTTTTAGATTTGATTTATTATTAAATCAATTGTAAATTTTTGTGTAAATTATAATAAATGATCATTACATAGTAACCTTAATTTCACGAAGTTTTATTGATTTCAATACCTACCAATTATAATCCTAATAGGTTAATGGGTGTTTCGATTAAACGAAACTTTAATAAAAGTTTTAATTGATTTAGCTTCTAAACAATTATCGAATGATTATTTTTTCGTAACAATTAAAGTTCGAAAACCGATTAAGGTATATTAAGCCCCCCCTCATGAATAAGAAGTGATAGCTTTCGTGCTTTTTTAAGAGGACTACGTTACAAGGCGTCCATAAGTTAAAACGTTTAGAAAATGGCTTTGGCTTTGAAAAGGAAAATTTCCTTCCCAGTCACTGAAAAGGATTACTTAAAATTAATTTGCAATTTCATATACCGCTTGGGTCTAGCAGACTGTTGGTATGAAAAACGGGAAATAAGATATCCAATATTAAACAAAGCATTCTCCCTTATCGTAAATATATTTTGGGTTATTTTCACGGTCAATGTTTTGGCAGCAAATTACAGAACAGATTTAACGTTAAAAGAAAGTAATGATGTGCTTTTATTTAGTTATGGTTTGCCAGCAATAAGTCTCAAAGTTATTATACTTTATGCCAAAAAAGAAGAAATTAAGGTATTTTTCAAGAAACTTCTAGAGGGGGAGGTGACCCAGCACTCGAATAAGAAAGCTATAAGAGCCGCAATAGTTGTTTACGTGGTTGTCTGTTGCGGTTTGTTTTCAGCAACGGTGTACATGCTTTATGGCATCAAGGATTATTTTGTGGAAGGTATTATCTGATTGTATATATATCGTTAAGCCAACATAGTGTTTATAAATAAATATTGTGACAGAACTGAACTAGGTTGTTAATAATTTACAGCTAAAATATATAAACTATTCATTAAAAGGTCAAAATCACCGAAGGAAATTTCTAGACTCAGTCTCTCACTCAGTTTTTAATTTTATTTATTTCCTTGAATTTGTTTATTTCACAATATCATTTTTTAGAGGCATTCGTCATTTGTTGTAGACTATGTTTTTCTTTCACCGTACACACATGTATTAATGCATTACGAATAAAGTTTGGATGCACGACTTTTGAACTTTTAATTAAATTGAATTAAAGTAAGCTTTTCAATTCTTAAAAGGCCGGCAACGCACTCGCGAGCCCTCTGGCATTGAGAGTGTCCATGGGCGGCGGTATCACTTAACATCAGGTGAGCCTCCTGCCCGTTTGCCCCCCGTTCTGTAAAAAAAAGCCTAAGTAGTCAAGCTAAAACCAATCGAAACATTCGAAGGGCTCTCAAAACAAAGAAAAGTGTTTCCATATTATATTTTATTTAAACTTTTCAGACATACCAGTACGGGTTGAAGTTCTTTATTACCCTAAGACAAGCGACACTGGGCTCCTTGTCAATTTTATTAGATTCCTAGCCATAGTTCACTTCTGGTACATTATCTGCATCATGAATTCCACCGACTATCTCTGTTTATGTACTCTAGTCTTTATCAAGTACAAGTTTATTAGAGTTCGAATGTTTTTTGAGGGTCTTGGCAAAAAGTCTAAAAGTAGTAAGGAGTTTGAGAAGGAGTTTTTAAATGGTGTCATATTACTCAAGCATGCTTTATGGTATGATTTTAGTTGTTAAAACTAAAATTTATACACATTTCATTTGACTTTGTATACTTAAAATAATTTGTCGTTAGGTGCGCTCGCAATGTACAAAACACTATTGGAAGCATTTACAGTGTACAAATCGTTGAAAGCATTACTTTGCTAGTGGTTTTACTTCTAAAAGCTGTGGTGAGTTATTTAAAATTTTCCATTAAATTTTGTTTTACAAAAACAAAAATTGCCTCATAACAAGTCATTCAACTCAGTTCTTTATAGTTTAATCTAGGAATGGCCTCTTCATGTTGGACCTGTGTCGTAAGCCTTCCAAAGGGTTAAACTCCGATCTGGTGACCCATGAAATTCAAACCGAGATTCATAATAACAATAGTTCAGTAAACTATATGGACCTACTATCGACTATTGGTCTTCGAGTGTATCTATTTCTTTGATATTTTTTTTAGACAAGGTTATCTAAGCTTATCAAGCCTACTGAGCTGGAAACATCAAACATTTTTGCCTATAAATAGAAACTGTAAATAATAATAATCAAGTAATAGATACAGGAATCGGAATCTAAACTAAACTTAGCTCGCGAATTAGGACTCCCATGTTCCGATCCTTTCGTATGTAAAAAATCCTAATGAATTGTGAGATAAACCAGGGCACTGAGACTTATGGTTGTAGCGCCACTGTTTTTGTTTAATTATTATATACATAAATAATACCATTGTATTCATAATATTTAAAGGTACAGTATATAAATGTATTTAAGGTGGATAAATCTTTCTTCCAACACATTATCTTGATTAAATTTTCTGTACAAAAATGTAATTTACAATATAAAGTTAATGAAGTATGCGCCGGCAAAGCTAGTTAGCGTGCATTATCATAATTAAATAGTGTAATGTATGTTAATTTCATGTTTAAATTTACTATGTTATTTTAGTATGCTGGGTCCGATATGGCGCTGCTCCTAGTGTGTGTGGGATCTTATATCTCTATAGTTATCTTAACTGGAGTTTATATGACATATTCGGCTAATATCACATATGAGGTATATAGTGTGTTGTTATAGTAGTTCTATACTAATAATATAAATGGGAAAGATTTAATTGTTTATTTTTATTAATTAGGCTCTAAAGCTACAGGGGGCTGTCAAGATGCCTTAACAGTAGTGTATGAAAATTGGTCGACACGAACTGTAATTTTAATACAAATTTAGTTTACGACTCCGGATTTATTTGAGAAATTTAATGCCCTTATCATGTTTGTAAATGTTAGAAAAACATTCCTAAATATTTGAGATTTATAGTAGATTATTATTATTATTAAAGCTTTATTAATCCATACAACAATTGGTTAGTTTGCATTCCTTAATATTAGTA